AAAAACATACATAAAACATCCAAGAACAATCAGAAACCATAAGCATACTTTTAGCACAGCACAAGATTGAGCAAGGAAACCAAAAGAAATGGGTAAAACACAAATCCTCTGTCCCTCTATTTATACATGCCCTATCAGTTGTTTAGATATAGAACAGGCTCTTTAGCTTAGGAGTTACAAATCTCTACAGAGTTACCATTACCTTTCAGCTTTCTGTAGCTCTCCAGTTAGGTGAGCCCATGGGCAATGGCCTCCTGCTTCAGACCTCAGTTAAGAATTTCTGTCTCCTCTAATGGACCCCGCACAAAAGAGCTTCCTCCTTGCTCCCCTGAGTTTTATCATATCTGTTTCTCCACCCACTGACCTGGTCAGACCAGGTCAAGTAGGCCTTTCCTGAAGCCTACAGAAATTTCCTTCATGAAGCTTCTCTAGCATTTAACACCTCCAAATCTCTGTTCCCTGCTTGAAGAAGGGTGGGGAGAACCACCCACCCACCATCTCTCCTGCTAGATCTATTAGCATTTGTATGAAGGTAAGCTGGAAAGCAGCTTGACTGTCTTCCCTCCTTCCTGGCTGTTCTCTGCCCAGAGAGAACAAAACTTTAAAAACTTCCTGGTGAAAGCTTTCCACATGTCAAACCTCCAAGGAAAAAATACATTTCTTCACAATGCCACTTCCTGTGTGACCCTGGCAATGTGGCTTAGGGCTTTTCTTTCTACTACTAAGTCTCCCCCATCCCCTACTAGTTGCCAGAAGGGACCTGGCAGCCCTACCCCAAATATATTTTCTTAACCTGTCCCCCAAACGAGCGTGGTGCAATGGTTAAGAGTGGCGGGACTCTAATCTGGAGAACTGGGCAGGCTCATACCTAGCATGGGACCTGCCCCTCCCGCTGTTTTTGCAGGCCCCTCCCCTGATCCTCAGCTTCCCCTTCCTCCCTCCGCCCCCCTCATCCCCTGATCGATCTGAGCCGGCGTCTCCCTGTTGAGCTCATCTGCAATTAGATGAGTCTCTTTAGGACCCAGCAGCAACCGGTGGTTGACTGAGTCACACACACATTGGTCGGATTGCAGCAGTTCGCTCCTCCTGTTGGATTTTCTGTGCCAGACTTCAGAAAAGATTGTGGGCTCAGGGAAGGAGTGAGGGAGGAAGCTTGATCTCTGCTCTCATTTTTTCCTACACATGGCAGCTTTCCTAGACCTTTTAGTGTTTATTAACATTGGGATTCTGGCTCGCCTCAGAGGAAGGGTCTAGTGGGGGCTGTGTGGGTGCACACCAAGCAGACCCCCCTTGCCCTGGAGCCTTTGATGTAATTAGCTGGTGGGGCCCCCCAAGGCCCCCTCCCCCCAAAGAACCCTATCTACAGGCTGGAACTGGGTTTGATTCCCCACTCCTCCACATTGAAGCCAGCTGGGTGACCTTGGGTCAGTCACAGTTCTCTCAGAGTTCTCTCAGCCCCACCTACCTCACGGGGTGCTTGTTGTGGGGAGAGGAAGAGAAGGCGATTGTAAGCCACTTTGAGACTCCTTTGGGTAGAGAAAAGCGGGGTACAAAAACCAACTCTTCTTCTTTTCCCTTGCTTGCAGCATCTCTGGCCAGCCACCTAGGATTACCAACTCCTTGTATAGAAATACTTGAAGATTAGGGGGGTGGAGCCTAGGCGTGGAGGGGTGTGGGGAGGAGTGGAACCTCAGCAGGGTATGATGCCATGGAGTCCACCCTGCAACGTCGCCATTTTTTGTCACCTGGGGATCAGTTCTAATCCTGGGAAATCTCCGGGCCCCACTTGGAGGTTGGGAGATCTCCAGGCCCCTCTCTCTCCCACTCCTCTTCCCTGTCTTTCCCGCCAACCACTTTTCTCCTTCCAAGGCAAGGATTTCGCTCTCTCACAGCGGTTTGTGCCATGGACCACTTCTCAGAACGTTTTTAAATGCATAAAATACATAGGCTTAACAAGAAGAACAATTATATTGAAATACAGTTATCAAAATATACTTTAAAAACTAATTTACAAGATAGTAATAGATGTGCATCTTTATTAGCCCATTAAATAACAATTAGAACTTGAGTGAACTTGCCTGGTGTACCCTCGTGTCACGGGCCGGGGTGCCAGTCAAAGGGAGTCCAGGACAGGCCAAGGTCAGGAGCCAAGACGACAGTGCAACGTCCAAAAAGCCAAGCGGGGTCAGGAGCCAGGAACACAGAGCCAAGTCCAAAGCCAGGGGATCCAAATTTCTAGGTGCAAGAGCTGAGCCGGAGTGGATGCGAGCAGCATGAAGCTGACTTGTTGCTTCCACGAAGAGTACTGCCCAGAGTGTGGAGTTAAATGCTGCGACCAATGAGCCGGCTGCACGATCGCCCAGGTTCCTGTTAGAACTCTGGGCTGGCTGAGCGTCTCCCTTGTAACCTGGCCTCTCTTCGCCCGCTTGCTAAGTTTTGTCACAGTCTCTCCCTTAAAAAAGTCACACGTGGGGGTGAGTCAGGGGGACATTCATCTTGCAGTTCTTCATTCTTATCTGGGCCAGGTGTGAAGACTGCTGTTGCAGGCACTTGCCAGCTATCCTCCTCTGCTGCTTCAGAGGGGCCAGCTGTGGTTTTCTGCAAGCTCTGTCAGCTCATCCTCATCCACGCCCATGACACCCTCGTAGCCCCTGCACATAACGGTGTTACAAAAGTCTGCACAGCCTTATGGAGAATTAAGAATTCTCATTTGAACTGTCCAGTTTTGCAGAACTTTAACAAATAATGAAAACAACTCACTTCTTTACTGATGAACAATAACTGGAGATGAGGAATGCTGGAAATCAAGGTAGATCACCAATGTGAGAACACCCAACTTCACTGTTTCAGAGCTGAACCACAGCGTGGTGCAGAGTTGCCCAATAGTTGGCCAGATAGGTCACAAGAGCATCTGTAGAACAAGAAGACTGTGATCGTGTATGATAAGAACATAAGAACATAAGAGACGCCAAAGTTGGATCAGGCCAAAGGCCCATCCAGTCCAACACTCTGTGTCACACAGTGGCCAGAAATACCAGGGGCCATCAGGAGGTCCAGCAGTGGGGCCAGGACATTAGAAGCCCTCCCACTGTTGACCCCCCCCCCCAAAGCACCAAGAAGACAGAGCATCACTTGCCCCAGAGCCCCTATCTATACCTTGTGGCTAATATCCACTGATGGACCTCTGCTCCATATGCTTATCTAATTCCCTTTTGAAGCCGTCCATGCTTGTAGCCGCCACCACTTCCTGTGGTGGTGATCTAGAGGCAGGTCTAATAACTACCCTAATTTCAAAGTAGTGATGAGCAATGCTCTCTCAAAGCTGTGGAGTCTTGGGAGCAAAAATTCTACTTTGTGAGCTACTGACATTAAAGTTGTGAGCGAGCAATTTGGCTACTGCATAAACTAGTTTGCTCTGGAGCCATCCTTCCTGAGACAAGTCAAAACTGTGTGAGCTGGAGGCTAAAGAACTGTGAGCTAGCTCACACTAACTCAGCTTAGAGGGAACACTGGTGATGGATTTAAACAATATTTGGTGATATGTTCAACAAATGTAATGTGATATGCAAAAAAATCTATGATTTCTCTTGGTGACAAAGTCACAGGTACTGCTAATACTACTGTGGTTTGTTGCCTAAGACTCATAATTAAAAGAAATGCTGAATTTCGGTTAGAGGTTAGTGAAAATAAAGAAGTAATTCCCCCCCCCCCCCACCCCAAGTTATCCAAGTTCACGGTCCCCCTGAAATCTAACCACAGACGTCTGCTATCCTTGACTTGTCTGTTTCGTCACAGGTTTTGGAAAATAGGTGGGTTTTTTGGCCAGTTTTGCAGATGTCGACAGCTTGGCAGATAGACTGAAAGAGGCCAACCACTAGAAAGGCCCTTCTTTGCAAAATGACTTTTGGAGCATTTCTGAGCCTCCAATCACCTGGGCATCTGAAGAAGACCTTCATTAGATCCCACTATAGGAAAGGTTCGCCCGTATGGATTATCTGAGAAAAAGAAAGGTTGAATTTCTGCCTCAAGGTACTTATGATGTTCCTTCACCATTTATGATGTTCCTTCACCATTCCTCAATTCTTAAGGAGATATGGGCTGGTCTTAATTCTTCTTCCACCCTCAGAACACATCCTTTCCCCCCTTCCCTGTAAGATCTGTTTGAGCTTTGTCCTCAGTCTGAATATTTCTATCATTTCCTCAAGGTTAGGGTAAGAATTCTGGACAGATACAATCACTTTACAAGAGGTTACATGGTTACAGAGAGCCAGTCTGGTGTAGTGGTTAAGTGTGCGGACTCTAATCTGGGAGAACCGGGTTTGATTCCCCACTCCTCCACTTGCAGCTGCTGGATGACCTTGGGCAAGCCCCAGTTCTGTCAGAGATGTTCTTTCAAGGGCAGCTCTGAAAAGACCTCTCTCAGCCCCACCTACCTCACAGGGTGTCCGTTGTGGAGAGGGGAATGGAAAGGAGTTTGTAAAGCTGCTCTGAGACTCCCTTGGGTAGTGAAAGGTGGGGTATAAATCCAATCTCTTCTTCTTCTTCTTTAAACCCTTTCTATGGTCTGTGGCAGTGTTCCCTCTAAGCTGAGTTAGTGTGAGCTAGCTCACAGTTTTTTAGACCCTGGCTCCGTTAGGATGGCTCCAGAGCTAACTAATTTATGCAGTAGCCAAATCACTCACTCACAACTTTAATGCCAGTACCTCACAAAGTAGAATTTTTGCTCACAAGACTCCACAGCTTAGAGGGAGTATTGGTCTGTGGTTGTTTTTTTCATGTGAAATAAGAAAATTCTCTTTTCACAAGCTAAGCAGTTATATGATTTCTCACTGTGTGGGGTCTTTGATGCTGTTGAAGATGGCCAGGCTAACTGAATCTCTTCCCACACTCTTAGCATTCAGAAGAATTTTCTCCTATATGAGTTCCTAGATGTTTTTGAAGATCACACCTCTGAATGCACTCTGTGCTTTCAAAAGATTTTTTTTTCTTGGTTTGGGCTCTTAGACCTTGTTTAAAAGTGATGCTCCAGTTGAAGGCATTTCCAGACTCTGAGTGTTCAAAAGTTTCTCACCTCTGTGGGTTCTTAGATGCAATTGGAGGTTCTCATTACGACTGAATCTCTTTTTACACTCTGAGCACTCAAAAGGTTTATCCCCTGTGTGAATTCTCAAATGCCTCTGAAGATGGCTGTTCAACCTGAATTTCTTTCCACACTCTGAGCATTCAGAAGGCTTCACCCCTGTGTGAGTTTTTTGATGTTCTTGAAGATGGCTGCTCTGATTGAATTTCTTTCCACACTCAGAGCATTCAAATGGTTTCTCCTTTGTGTGCGTTCTTAGATGCCGTAGAAAATTGCTGCTATATGAAAATCTCTTTCCACACTCTGGGCATTCAAAAGGTTTCTCCCCTATGTGGCTTCTTTGGTGCTTTGTAAGACTACGTCTGTGACTGAATCTCTTCCCACACTCCGAGCATTCTAAAGGTTTATCCCCTGTGTGGGTTCTTAGGTGCTGTTGCAGATAACTACTCTGACTGAATCTCTTTCCACACTCTGAACACTCAAAAGGTTTCTCACCTGTGCAGGTTCCTTGATGATGTTGAAGACTGTCAGCTGCGCTGAATCTCTTCTCAAATTCAAACAGTTTCTCCCCTGTGTGGATTCTTTGATGTTGTTGAAGATTGCCAAGTTGACTGAATTTCTTTCCACACTCTGAGCATTCAAAAGGTTTCTCTCCTGTGTGGGTTTTTAGGTGCTGTTGCAGATGGCCACTCTGACTGAATCTCTTTCCACACTGTGAGCATTCAAAAGGCTTCTCCCCTGTGTGGGTTCTAAGATGTTGCTGAAGACTGCCACTCAACCTGAATTTCTTTCCACACTCCGAGCATTCAAAAGGCTTCTCCCCTGTGTGGATTCTTAGGTGCTGTTGAAGACTACTTCTGTGATAGAATCTTTTTCCACACTCCGAGCATTCAAAAGGTTTCTCCCCTGTGTGGGTTCTTAGGTGCTGTTGCAAATAACTACTCTGACTGAATCTCTTTCCACACTCTGAACACTCAAAAGGTTTCTCACCTGTGCGGGTTCCTTGATGATGTTGAAGACTGTCAGCTGCCCTGGATCTCTCTTCAAATTCAAACAGTTTCTCCCCTGTGTGGATTCTTTGATGTTGCTGAAGATTGCCAAGTTGACTGAATTTCTTTTCACACTCTGAGCATTCAAAAGGTTTCTCCCCTGTGTGGATTCTTAGGTGCTGTTGAAGAGTACATCTGTGACTGAATCTCTTTCCACACTCTGAGCATTCAAAAGGTTTCTCCCCTGTGTGGATTCTTAGGTGCTGTTGAAGACTACATCTGTGACTGAATCTCCTTCCACACTCTGAGCATTCAAAAGGTTTCTCCCCTGTGTGGGTTTTCAGGTGCTGTTGCAGATGGCCACTCTGACTGAATCTCTTTCCACACTCTGAGCATTCAAAAGGCTTCTCCCCTGTGTGGGTTCTAAGATGTTGCTGAAGACTCTCACTCAACCTGAATCTCTTTCCACACTCTGAGCATTCAAAAGGCTTCTCCCCTGTGTGGATTCTTAGGTGCTTTTGAAGACTATATCTGTGACTCAGTCTCTTCCCACACTCTGAGCATTCAAAAGGTTTCTCCCCTCTGTGGGTTCTTTGATGCAGTTGAAGATGGCCACTCAACCTGAATTTCTTTCTGCACTCAGAGGATTCAAAGGGTTTCTCATTTGTGTGGGTTCTTAGGTGCCGTTGAAAATTGCCACTGTAACAAAATCTCTTTCCACACTCTGAGCATTCAAAAGGTTTCTCCTCTGTGTGGATTCTTAGGTGCTGCTGCAGATGGCCACTCTGACTGTATCTTTTTCCACACTGCGAGCACTCAAAAGGTTTTTCTCCTGTGTGGGTTCTTTGATGCTGTTGAAGATTGCCACGCTGACTGAATCTCTTCCCGCACTCTGAACATTCAAAAGGTTTCTCACCTGTGTGGATTCTTAGGTGCTGCTGAAGACTACATCTGTGACTGAATCTCCTCCCACACTCTGAGCACTCAAAAGGTTTCTCCCCTGTGTGGGTTCGCTGATGTTTTTTAAAATTGCCAAGCTGACTGAATTTCTTTCCACACTCTGAGCATTCAAAAGGTTTCTCCCCTGTGTGGATTCTTTGGTGGGCAAGGAGCTGTGATCTGAATTTAAAGTACCTTCCACACCGAAAGCATTTACATGCCTTCATTATAACGTTCCTCAAAAAATGTAAATTTCTCTGTATTCCATCAGAGAATGCCATTCTACTCTCTGAACAGATAAAAGGCTTCTCTCCTGAATGAATCCTTTGGTCTTTAATAAGGTCTGATTTCTCTGAAAAACTCTCGCCACAATCTGAGATACTCTGCTTCTCTCCTGCATGTGTTTGTTGATGTATAAGGAGCTCCGCTCTACAAAGGAAGCTCTTTTTACACTCCGAGCATTGATGAATCTGCTTTCCACTGTGCATTCTCACATGGGTATTATATTGGATGTGATCTGAGAAGTTCATTCCACACTCCAAGCACTTGTACGTTTCCTCCATGTGAATTACTTCACAGAAATCCCCACTTTGGCAAGGAATGGGTCGATCCCTCTTCTTGACTATATGTCTGCCTTTCTGCCTCTTGGGTCTGCCTTGATTCCTGAAGTTCCCTCTCTCATCGTCATTCTTGACTTCATCTGGCATTAGAAGCTGCGGTTTCTCATCCTCCTCATTCCTCTTATCATCCCCTGCTGGAATAAAGAGAGACATCCCGTTAGCACCCACACGAGGAGGTCTGATTCGCACTTGAAATTCCATCCCCACTCCAAGCATTTCAGGGGCTTTCCCCTGCTCTACATTGGAATGTACAATAATATACATGTTAAAAGTGGCTTCCCGCTTGCCTGTGTGGTCCATGTCCAACTGTGAAGTTTTCTTCAGCCCTTTTATTTTCTGCTTTTTCCACAGAGAAACCCTGGAATTCCCCAAGTGTCTTCCTCTACATCTACTGCTGGAATCAAGAAAGATGTCTGGTCTCCACCCAGACAAGAATCCAGGCCACCAATCAGGCAATCATCATTCACGAGTGTGCATTACCTTTGGCAGAACTTCTCCCCCCCCACAAAAAAAAAACACCATATTTGCTGTGGGAGAGGGAGAAGCCAAGACCCCACCAAGTAAACCTTGCAATTCAAAGGGTACCACCATTTTTTTGGAAGGGATAGCAGTTGTTGTTGCTGGGAGGCAGCCCTCTAGCTAGCAACCTTTTGCTCAGGGTGCCAGTGTTTTTCTCAGGGGGCCATGGGGGGGGGGATAGGTGCACGGGGCGAGTGGTTCGCTGTCCCCTCCCCCCCAGCTCTGCGTGGCCTCTTCCTTACCCGGGCAGAACGGCCCGGTACCTCCAACCAGCGCCCCCCCCTGTTGCTTCTATTCCTCCCTCCTGCCGGGTGAGTTGGCACCCCCCCCCCGCAGCCTCTCCCACCTCAGCTGGCCTTTCTCACGGGGGGGGGTGCAGCTACTGCTCCAAGCCACAGGGGACATCGTGCCTCCCTCCCACCTCGCCCTGCCCGTGGTGGGCGCAAATCGCCTCTCCATCCGGGTCAGGAGTCCCTGGCCCGCCGCTCACCTGCGCACCTCCTCTCTTTTTTTAGGGGGGTGCTGTGGTCTTATTACTATTTCTAGAAAGCAAAGATGTTTCCTAGATTTCTCCTTGAAATGCATTTTTTTGTTGCAGGGCCTGGAGCTTGTGTTTCAAGGGTGCTACAGGAAGGTCTGTGCTACATATCCCGTGACCAAAGGCAGGGGTGCCACATATAGTTTACACAGAGTGTGAATAATACAGCAGATTCTGGAGCAATTTTCAGCTTGTAATCAGGGCTATTTTGGGGCAGGAACGCACAGGAACGGAGTTCCGGCTGTCTCCCAGGTTGGCCACGCCCAGCAGGAACTCATTAGCATAACAGGCCACACCCAACAGCAGAAACTCATTAGGATTGGCTACATTAGGGGTGTGTGGCCTAACATGCAAAGGAATTCCGGCTACAAAAAAAGGCCCTGGGTTTTGACAACAAACAAGGTAAACAGAATAACAAGCAAAAGGTGGGTGTGGCTTCTGGTAACACAGGTGCTAATGAGCTGAGCTGGCAGGGGTGTGGCCTAATATGCTAATGAGTTTCTGGTGTTGGGTGTGGCCTATTATGCTAATGAGTTCCTGCTGGGCTTTTTCTACAAAAAGAGCCCTGCTTGTAATTAAACTGGGCAAAGCCTAGTTAAATTTTTCTTCAATTTTTAATGCAACTTAAAGATATATTGTCAGCATACTTTGAGGGGTAGTGTTCCCCTTCTGAAGACTCAGAAGAAATTGGATAATGGAATGATGATTTCTAAGTGGAATAGTGATAGGAATAGGCATCTTTTAAGAGCGTGGGGCCCGCTAAAGACATCAGTGACAAGTTCTGCATATGATTTGCAATACAAATAGTTTATATTTCATGCTTGTACGTTTGTAAACTAAAATTCTAAAAATATGTATTAAAAAAATGTAGGCCCGCTCACAACTTTAAGGCTAGTAGATCTTTCCGCTCACAAGGTAGAACTTTTGCCCACAAGACGACATGGCTTAGACTAGAGAGAACATCGCACAGTACATGTGTTTTCTGCTAGGAGAAAGAAGCCTTTGCTAGCTACATGGCTGGATGTGTGCGAGTGATCTAGGTAATGCACCCCCCCTTTTAAAAATATTTTTTCTTTATAGTTTTTTCACCATATATAACCTTGTACATAGTTAAATACATATTGTTGTAGTCTTTTAACAAAAATTTTGATTTTTTAAATGTGTATATATATATATATCTGGAGCTGCGGTGGCTCAAGTGGTTAAGACGCTGAACTGCAGGCTGTGGAAAGTCAGTAGTTCAGCAGTTCAAGACCCGGGTGCCGCAAGACAGGGTGAGCTCCTGTCTCTAGTTCCAGCTCCTGCCAACCTAGCCGTTCGGAAGCAAGAAATTGCAAGTAGATAAATAGGTACCACTTCGGTGGGAAGGTAACAGCGTTCCGTGCGCCTTGGTGTTTAGTCATGCTGGCCACATGACCACGGAAACGTCTTCGGACACCGCTGGCTCTTCGGCTCTGAAACGGAGATGAGCACCGCAATCCTAGAGTCGGATTCGACTGGCTTTCGAGCAAGGGAACCTTTACCTTTACCTTTTTATATATATATATACATATACATACATATACACACACTCTTGACCATCGTTTTTGGAATTCATTTTCATCTTTACCATGTAACTGTTGGAAATGTATGTATTTACAAGGTCTGACAATCCAGTCATTATAGGGTTAACTTGTTTACCTAGTATTGCTATTGTTTAGACTGACCTGGAAGGGATACCTGGCACTGAGCCAATGGGGAATTAAAGGTAAAGGTAAAGGTTCCCTTGCTCGAAAGCCAGTCG